CGAACTAAAACGCAAATTTAGAGGACAAATAAAGAGAAATGATAAAAACATGTGAACGAGACGATCCAGATTGCCAATTTACGCGCTTATACCAAACTATTACGCTATTTGTTGTGCCTCTGCCAGGAGTAGAGGTGATCTATGTGGCTCGCAGGTACCCGACAGGAGGCCCGTCGCGCGGCAAGAAGGCAGAGTCAGCGGACGAGTCGCAGCGCGTACTGTAGTGATTTCGCGTCAAGTTAAATAGAATGTACCACGTCCTACATCGCACAGCACGCGCTGCGACTCGTCCGCTGACTCTGCCTTCTTGCCGCGCGACGGGCCTCCTGTCGGGTACCGTGCTCGCATCAATTTTATAAGCTCCACACGCCCTAAGTGCTATCCCTGCAGGTGAAGCAGCACCAAATCCGAGTCTTTGGTTCGAAGGGAGCGTATGGATGGAACAGAACGCGCAAAGCCGCTGGAGCCCATTTAAATGAGTTCTATGCCACCCTGCTACCATCACCCACTGCAGGGTAACCCCTTTCACTGAACCCCAAGTACTGTCGGACTATTTAATGACGAATTTTGAAGCGGAGCTCATTTCGCAATCGATTCCAAACCCTATGAAAACCCAAGTTTTGGATGCACAACGATGATGCTAAGATGGACAAGAACCATGCCAAACATGCAGCACCGCAATTGCACGCGCTACTTTACGGACAACTAATGGGACCTCGAAAGAAGAGGCCCAGTCTAGTCCCCAACTGTGAACTGTCAACAAAACCCTGCGAAATCGTATCGCTAAACGGCAAAAACTACCGGTTGTAAGCTCATGGATCCCCTTTCCCTCTCCTGTCCCCCCACCCCCATCTTCTACCCTTCTGGCGACGCTCCCCAATTCCAGAGACAATATTTCAATCTCATACATTCCTGCGCTTTCCCAAAGAATCCCAAGTTTAATTAAATGGTGACGAAGACTCCTACCGTAATGATAAGACAGCAAACGTGATGACATAATCATCATAAAATTCCTAATTAGTCACCAACAGAAATAGCATCCAGGAAACCGCTACACCTCCAATCTTTGG